GTATTCCAGGTAAACCGGGCGGCCCATCGTAACCATGAGACCCTGGTGATCCCGGTAAACCATCGGTTCCATTGCAACCGTCAAGTCCTGGTGGTCCACGCGGTCCAACGGGTCCCGGAACCCCCTAAACAGATATCAGTGCTAACAATGCATTTGCATATACATTACAACTAGACTTACAGGTATGCCATTAATTCCGGGAAAGCCGGGCATTCCCATTTTACCCCGGTCACCCTTCACTCCTCGTGGCCCAAAAGAACCTGAATCTCCTTTATCCCCCTTATCGCCGATTAACCCTTCAGGTCCCACATGACCGGAAAGTCCCGGTGCGCCAATTGGCCCCGGGAGACCGGGCGGACCCTATTTCAAAATAAGAATCACTTTAAATACATAATAGAAAATATGTCAAAAAGTGGTCCAAACCCGGGATCCTTTATCTCCACTGCATTTGCATTGGTTTTGTACACAACCAACACATGGAGTGGACAATATGCTTCTTATTCTGCCTATTCTCCCCATAGGGTCAACAGGAGAAGATATCGAACCGAAATTATAGTTTAAATATATTAAAATAAGGAAAACTTTATAAATCTATATGAATTATTTTGTATCATTAACTTATTATAGGTAAATTAATTTTATGAAATTTTAAAATATTAGTTAAAATAAATTGAATAACAATTTTTTGTGCACTGTATATACTCTATTTGAATTGTAAATTTGATAATACTGTACATATTACAAGTTTTATTTAAGAAATAAAGAATATTTTTCTTACAGTTAAACAAATACATTAAATTTAATACGAGTAAAGATAATTTATTAATATAAAGTATTGACAGAAATAATATATTACATTTGAATAGTTTGTAAAGTAATTGCCATCAGTAATAAATATTTTGAGTATTACTTAAATTCTTAAGTATTTAAAAATTAAAACTTTTAAAAAGTTGTAAATCTTATTGGGAATAAATTAATTAAAGATATTATGTGAATGTCGTGTTTAACATGCTTTCAAAGCTTATCCGATGTCTCATCAGTTTGTGTTAAAAGCGAAGTGATTTGCGGTTCAAATCTGTTATACGAAGAATAAGACGGATAAGAGGGGTATCCCAGTTGTCCTCTTCTATAGCTTGGCTTTAATATCAAATTTATATAATTTTATTCCTTTTGAAATATTTAGATATACTTAATAAAACATATATTAACTTATTATAGTTAAGTTAATTTTATGAAATTTTAAAATATTAGTTAAAATAAATTGAATAACAATTTTTTGTGCACTGTAGGCTATGCATAATACTGTATTTGAGTTGTAAATTTGATAATACTGTACATATTACAAGTTTTATTTAAGAAATAAACAATATTTTTCTTACAGTTAAACAAATACATTAAATTGAATACGAGTAAAGATAATTTATTAATATAAAGTATTGACAGAAATAATATATTACATTTAAATAGTTTGTAAAGTAATTGCCATCAGTAATAAATATTTTGAGTATTACTCAAATTCTTAAGTATTTAAAAATTAAAACTTTTAAGAAGTTGTAAATCTTATTGGGAATAAATTAATTAAAGATATTATGTGAATGTCGTGTTTAACATGCTTTCAAAGCTTATCCGATGTCTCATCAGTTTGTGTTAAAAGCGAAGTGATTTGCGGTTCAAAAAGTTGTCACAAATCCAAATATCAGTGACTGTATACTACTTATTGTTATGGAAGTAAAGGTCGTATATTACAGTATATTGTAGTGAATGTATGCTAAGAGTGTGAGAGTGAGGGTGAATGGGAATGGGAGGTGGAGTGGGGCTAATGCTCACAAACCAGAGCTAAACTGTTAGCAAATGTCAGTCATATATCGTTGTAAAGAGTCTGGAAGTCTTGTCATAAAATATTATCTAAAACTTCAATCAAAACACTTTGAGCTGAAAGAGAGTTATTGTTTGTCTGTAGTCACAGAACTGAAAGCTAACTAAACATCAATTTATTAAAACTCTTTCTTAATTAGTAGTTTGTTATTTATATAAACGCTTTAATCACTTTGTTTTATCTCAAATCTGATTCGTATTAAGTTTAGAAAAAATTTCACACCAAATCCAAGTGATAAGCAATAGGTTTAAACAAATAAATTAGATGTCAAACCACACACTCATTGATATTTCAATATCTGCTCTATAATTTGTCTCAAAAGTATTGCAATCAATGGCAAGACATTCATTAGACAGTATTTTCTATTACTATATCTATATATGAGAAACTAGTTTCACTTTCGTTGCAAAGTGTTCAACAACTTAATATTTATTAAATATTTACTCAATTTAAGAATAATTTGTGAAAATACTTGTAAAGAATAAATGCAAAAACGCAAGAATTTAGACTAACATAAGATAAAAGTTTAAAAAATAGTTGTTTATTATTTATTCAACGTCTTAGACGTCTAAATATTAATAAATTTCAAACTCCACTCATATTTGAATGGATGTATGATTCACATGAATTCTATGCAAATCTGGTTTATTTTAGCCAAAATCCTACTTTTCAGTCTGTTTTTAGTATTAATTATTTGAAAATTATTACACTTTTGTTTGTTTATAATTACTTTCAATAAATGAAAATAAAGTTATTTCAGTCGATTTGTATTATCTATGAATTAATGCCAATAATTAACTTAAAGGCAAAGAATTGGTATGAAGTGAATGGATAGGAGAGCGCATCGTTTGGTATGAATGCATACATTTCCTGGAAGTCTATCAAAATAAACAAAAGGAAACGTTTGGCAAAAAGGCATCCTTTGGAGCGCAATGTGCTGACGATTTTCACATCTAAAAGCCATTTCAAGTGTACGAATACTGATCCCACTCTACCCTACCAAACATCATATGTCTGTCTGTGTCTCAATACTAGAGAGCAATCATGTCTTTAAGACTTTTTTCAATTTACTTGAATTTCTGAGTTACAAATTCGTACTAAAGACCGGAAAATAATTGAATGCATAGAAAGTGAGCCAAAACAAGCATTTATTATTCAAAGCCATTAACTAAGCTTAGAGAAGGCATACATTTTCATCGTTTTCATCATCCCTTCTAAACAAATGTTTTGTCATTTTTGGCAAATATTAATCCACTTTTCATTTGTATTCTATTCAACACTTAAGAATAAAAAATCTAACACTTTTCAACATACTATACATACAGTCTATAGAGTATATCCTATAATCCTATTTCCGACAAACAGTCAAACATTGAAACTTGAGATCCGAATCACTTACCACTGAATCTGAATTTTGTGCGACTTTTGCTTTAATCACAGATAAGATGAATAAAATTGAAATGATTTTTGAAAGATGTTTATAACTCATTATTTTATTTTTTACATATTATACTGTATAGTGTAGAGTAGAGTATCCCATATAAGTACAGTATATGTGAAGTAATTCTATACAATAGAGACATTGAAACTTGAGATCCGAATCACTTACCACTGAATCTGAATTTTGTGCGACTTTTGCTTTAATCACAGATAAGATGAATAAAATTGAAATGATTTTTGAAAGATGTTTATAACTCATTATTTTATAAACATTTTTCACTTAATTTATAGAATCGACAAAATGTAATAACTGTTGAATTGGTATTCAGTTAATGTGAGAGTCGAACAAAACGATTGAATTGAGTGTAGAGTTGGACCCAAAGAACTCATATACAAGTCATACAAATACATACAACTATTCTTTAGGTTTAGTTTGAGAAAAGTTAGAGTTATTTATATCACGTGCGCCAACAGTTGGAAGAAGCCCTCCTTCTTCTGCCTCTTCTGTCCGCACCTAAATCTGGACGAAGAGGAAGGAGGGCTTTGAATACATTGGCGCACGTGATATAAATAGCTCTGAGGCTCTCAAGACACTTCCAAAGGGTCCAACACTACACCATCTCTGCACTCCTCCACAACACTACCATTTCATATAATACTCTCATTCAATACATTTACACATTACAACTCAATTCAGTTAATTCTTTCCCTCAAATTATGTGAAAAATGTTTATAAAATAATGAGTTATAAACATCTTTCAAAAATCATTTCAATTTTATTCATCTTATCTGTGATTAAAGCAAATTTCGCACACAATTCAGATTCAGTGGTAAGTGATTCGGATCTCAAGTTTCAATGTCTCTATTGTATAGAATTACTTCACATATACTGTACTTATATGGGATACTCTACTCTACACTATACAGTATAATATGTAAAAAGTGTTAGATTTTTATTTTTTAGTCCAACACCAGGAGTGTCCAGAAATGAGTGACCACTGCCTCCAGGCATTGAGGAGTGAAACGACAATTTCCAGTCATAAGGGCTTATTTTTCTGTGAAATGCCCTCAAAAGCAACACTTTTTACTCTTATTTGAAATACTTTGACAAAGAAATGTTGTCTTGAATTGAATGCCTGCTATATCTCAATACTCACAGACAGACATTGTTTTGAAATATATTTACATATCTCATAGAATATAAGAATTCACGTACTACCCTGATATAACTCATGTAAATTATCATACATTTACATCCAATGTTCACTTATAATTTTGTATAAATAAGTTTTATAGAAAGCCATTTTAATTAAAATATTTTCTCTGTCTTTTGTTAGTATTTAATCTTAAATATAGATATAAATTCTTTTGATTTTTAATTTTTCCAAAGACTTGTGTTGTCGGGGCTCTCACTCATACCCAGAAGGTTGAGAACCGGCGTATCTATCTTTATATCATTCAATATGTTATAAACAGCTATAAACTAATAATTCAATTTTATTTTTTATATAAATTGTCATATTATTAAAATGCTAGCAATTATTTAAATGATATAAGAAATCTGTTAATTTGAATCTATTTTTGCTTTCTTTCAACAATCAATGGATTGAAAAATTTGAATATTTATTGCAAACCAAACATAATGAGTAAACAAATTTTGTTTTTATATTTTATACAGATTTGGCTTATTTGTAGTGTTTAAATTATGTTAAGATTAGTTAACCTATATTCCAGGAATGTATTGCTTATGATATCATCAAATTTATGTCTTGTTTGGTAGTTGTAGTGAAATTGCATCGAACTATACAGCCGTAGATTATTTATTTAAATATTTGGTTTAAAACTGCTTTCTCTCACAACCCCTCCCAAGTGTATTGAAATGTCTGAAGGGATAGACTTAAACTCATCTGTTGTTTGTAAGCTTCTGAAGCTAACCTCTGGCCAATTGTGAAGCCATTATATGACCTCTACTACCAAATTCCCTGCTTTTACTACAACTATATCTACTTTTAAAGGATTAAATTTATGTATAATTGTAATTATATATGTAATTATATTCTAATAACACGACAATAGGTTATGTCTTCCGGATTTTGAAAGCCATAAATGCATGCATTACTAGAATTCTTGTAGCACTCAAAGGTGTGCTCAATCCTCTAATGTCATATGAATACCGTATATAAGTAATTGTCGGCCATTCAAGTTATATACTGTATTAACATTTAAAATACAATATATGTATGTTTAGATTATAAAAGCAAATTCTATATTTTATTCTATTATTCAAATATAAGATAATTAAAACATATATATTATGATATAATATTAGTGTA